CATATATACGAGCTACAAGACAATGATGTGTGGGAAGGGAATACATAGAGAAAAATCTGGAAGGGTAAACATAAGCAGCTCCATGACCATCTCTAGGGACTTTGAAATTGTGGGGAAAGAAGGATTTTTTTAAAATACCCTCACTGGAAAAATTTTTTTTAGTTAAGAATAACTGCTTTTTTATAATACAAAAAAGTTTTAAGAAAAATGTTAAAGCTTTTGAAAAAAATAAATGCACTGATTATTTTCTTTCTCTCTTGAATTATAACTTTCTCTCTTGAATTATAACTTTCTCTCTTGAATTATAACTTCACTATGATAAATATTTTCAAAGTCCTGAATTGTGTAATACTGTAAATGAATTAAGGCGGTCATTTCTTACTTCCTTTGGTCTTGAGTTTAGCAATGTGGTTTCATTCAGGAAGTTTTCATTTACTTTTATTCTTTCCAAAGTGAGGGGCAGGATGTGGGAGGAGGGCTGCATTGTCACAGTTGAGAGCAGACTCTATCACCCTAAGGACTGTCACATGCTAACTTCATGTCACTATTACGGATATAATTAATGCTTCGCTGTCTATCATGACATGATGATGTCATGTTCCCTTACAAAAGCCTGCGGTCCAGCTGACTCTCAAGTTTTCAGCATTGAACGTGTACATCTCTGTTTTCTAGCTCTGACTTTTGAATTTCATTCCAAACAAAGGTGATGTTAGTTCACTGGTCGGTTGGCTCATCGAAATGGAAAGATGTATGTGTGGGCTTTTCTTTAAAAACAGGCTTCTTCAAGGGTGGTTGAGCCTCATTTACCTCCTTCAAGAAGGTAAATCCCAGGCACAGGGTCAGCTGAGGTTGGAGGTGTGACACTGATCTCTTATTGTGTAAGTATTCCAAGAATGCCGTGTCCTGTGCTTCTAAGTTGCATAATAAGGTTGTTTGGCACTAAAAGTGTTTGACTTGACTTTGTAGTCTGGCCTCTCAGGGTCAGGCTATTTTTCTGAGAGTCCGGAGGTCCTGTTCATTGGCCAGGTCACAGGAAGGGACATGGAAGGCCAATGGAGGATAGGGTGGAGACCAAATGCCCAGGGCTCCAAGAGGGCAGACTCTCCATCCACCTCACACATCCTCACATCAGAACCACCTGGGAGCTTTTGAAAAAGAATGAGCATGGCTGCCCCCTTTTCAGACCAATAAAATTGCAGTTGCTGAGATTTGGGCCTAGGCAGTGGTATAACAATACTTCTCTTGGCCTGGTGCAGTGACTCATGCCTATAATCCTAGCACTTTGGAGGTTGAGACAGGAGGATTGCTTGAGCCTGGGAGTTCGAGACCATCCTGGGCAACATAGCAAGACCTCATCTCTACCAAAAAATATATATATATATATACTTATCCAGGTATGGTGGTCCATGCCCATCATCCCAGCTACTTGGGAGGCTGAAGCAGAAGGATCATCTGAGCCCACGAGTTCGAGGCTGCAGTGGGCTGCAGTGGGCCACAATCATGCCAGTGCACTCTAGCCTGAGCGACAGAGTGAGAACTCAACTAAGAATACATATATATGGAGAGTAGTGTGTATATGTACACACTGTTCTCCAAAAGAAAAAACTCTCCAAAATATTAACATGTAGCCAAGGTGAAGAGTCACTGGATTGCTTGCAGTGAGCACACTGTGGCCTCTGAGAATTCACATGGAGTTTAGGAAGGAAGCTGGGACTGGATGTCTATTGGAATCAAACTCCAAGTATCTCACATTCTCTGGGAGGCTGGGAAGAGCAGGGACTCCTTCCACCCAAATTCCGCTGTTCTACCTTCTCTAGTATATGCCATTTGCTCCTACCGCTGAGTGAACACAAGTGGAAAGTGGTACTAGTGAATGGTATTAAATGGCAAAAAAAGAGAATCTGAGAGGAGATAACGATCACTCATTCAAATGAAACACACACAGTTGGGTCCACAGGCAGAGTGGAGCAGAGCTGGTTATATTTACTCAACACGATATCATTTCACTTGCATTTTCTCATCTGAGACTTCAAGCAAGCTCGTGAGGTAGGCATTATGGCCATTTGGCATATGAGAAGACCGAAGGATGTAAGAAGCAGGGGCCGGAATGATACAGCTGGTTATGTAGCCTACTGGGACCACAACCCATCTGGCTCCCAATTCCAGGGTTCATTCTGCTTCCTGTAGCAGTTTTTTTTTTTTAATTGGAGTTTCACTCTGTCACCCAGGCTGGTGTACAATGGCACAATCACAGCTCACTACAGTCCTCACCTCCTGGGCTCAGGCAATTCTTCTCCCTCAGCATCTTGAGTAGCTGGGACTACAGGCACATACTACCAAACCCAGCTAATTTTTTAAAATTTTTTTTATAAAGACAAAGTCTCGCTATTTTTGCCCAGGCTATTCTTGAACACCCAGGCTCAATCAATCCTCTTGCCTCAGCCTCTCAAAGTTCTGGGTTCACTGGCGTGAACCACTATGCCTGGCCTCCTGCAGCAGCTTTAAAAGAGTGTCTTTGATTTTAATTTATCCTGCTTTGACTTGTACAAGATAAGACCCTTGTTCTCTTGACTTGTTCGTGGACATTTGAATACTTGAGGCAGGAGGATTAACTAATGAAAAACTGACCAGGGGAGATATGCGCAAAGGAGCAAGGGAAAAAAAACCACCATACAACTCACTTTCCTATTTTCTCACTTACAGATGGATTGCATCCTAACCATCTTTAAATTCCTAATATTATCTATTATAGCAACTGCTAACATTTGTAGAACACATGCTATACAGCTAGGTTTTTCAAAAAGGAATTCATTTAATCCTCCCCAAAACCATATGAGGTATTATTGATCCCATTTTACAGATGGGGAAGCTGAGGCCCAGAGAGCTTATACAGATTGTCCAAAGTTATACAACCAGTGGATAGTTCAAGCATAGACTGAAATTCAAACAGTTTGAAGCAAGAGGTTCTACACGTATCCATTATACTGTGCTGACTGACTGAGCTCTGATGATCCAGGGTACCAGTGGGACTCTGGGCTTGTACCATTTCTCTTGTTTCCTTAATTGTCATCAATATTTATATGTATTGTGCTTTTATCATACATTAGGCATTGCTCCAAGGGTTTAATTATGCTACTTAATTATGCTTGAGAGGGGGCCCCAGAGTTAGTTCTTCATAGGAAGGCTGTTCTTAGCCCATGGCTGTTCTTTCCAGTACCTCTTTTTCAGTCATGCCACTCAGGTCCCTTTCCAAATCCATAAAGGACTCTATGTCAGACTTTAGGTGACCAGGGAAGAGAAATCCCTCTGTACCATGGTCTCAGTTAGAAATCCATCTGCTCACCTCTTCCTCCAGGTTCTTGGCAATGGTCTCCCAACTACCTGCTCTCGAGCTAGCCTTGCCTTCTACCACAGTCTTCTCCCATGATCCAGGTCAATGAAGCCTGTACATTCAGACCTTCCAATGAAACCTTGATTTGTCTGGATAGCTAGGCCAAGTAAGAGGTTGCAGGCCCTCCTTCTGGGCTGAAGTCACAGGTTCCTTGCTGTGCCTGGCAGATTGAACATTCACTGAGCCATCACATCACACAAGGGCTCACAGGAGCCCAGGGCAGGCCCAGTAGAGTTTCTTTCAGGTAGTTCTGGAGGAATCACATGATGGCTGTGCTTCCCTCCACTCCCAGGATTGTTCTGTTGGGAGGATTTTCTCTCCATACACAGATCTGCTTCCTCACTCTGCTCCTGTCCGGATCCTCTTCAGCCCTCAGGGCTCAGGTCAGCACGCAGACCTCAGCACTGAGGCCTTCGCTGATAATGCTTTCCTTCTAGCCCTCAGCGACTCTCATAACATCACCCTTATTTCCTCCTCACACTCTAATCATTGTATTTATTTTCTTATTGTCTGTATTCCCCCATGAAATTGTAAGCTCCAAGAGGACAGGAGTTTCCTTGCTAAATTGCTGCTTTTTGTACCTAGCCTCTAGCATCATGCCTGACCCCTACTAGGTACTCAAGAAATATGTGTTGAATGAAATAATTAAAAATCCTCTGTCATGGAAGGTGATGATACTGACTCATTTTCAACATCCCAGCCCTGCCAATGACCCTTTCGGGTTTCTATCTTCCATATCTCCTAAATGAATGCATACCTTGTTTAGGGTTTTGTGGTTGCTATTTGCATCTGCAAAATGACCCCAGGTCTGTTTGCTTCTGCTCAGTTTCCCACATGTTGATTAAAGTTGCTTTGGTCCAGACCTCATTCTGTCACCAATCATGGTAATCCTCCCACCTCAGCCTCCTGAGTAGGGACTACAGGCGTGTACCACCACACTCAGCCATTTATTTATTTTTATTTTTTGGAGAGACAGGGTCTTGCTGTGTTGCCAAGGCTGGTCTCGAACTCCTGGGCTCAAGCAGTCCTCCCACCTTGACATCCCAAAGTGCTAGGATTACAGGTGTGAGCCACTGCACCCAGCCTGAACTGCTCAGTGAATCTTAGTAAATAAAATCAGAAAGGCATTCAGCTTTCAGTTCAAGGAAGAATGTGTCACTGAAGAAAATGAAATCTTTGTTGTGTCTCTGTTGAGAATAGGCATGTCAAATGTAAAAGCACCCCCCAAAAACCTTAAGTATATATAAATATAAATATATATAATATAATATATATTATATATATATAAAACCATGCCCTAGGCAGTGTGGTAGGTGTCTGTCAGCATATACAGGCAAGCTTCTACATTCAAGGGGTTTTCTGTCTCTTGGTGAGAAAAGACTTAACTGTACAAGAAGACACCAGCAGACAAGGCAAATACTAATTCAGAACAACAAGAGATGTCGGGTGCTTTGTTTATAGTGGAGAGCAGTCATTGAATTCTGAGAAAGCTTTATAGGATTTAGTCAAGACCCTTTAAGACAGAGAGGATTTGGGAGAGTTTACTTGTGTGGATTCTGCAGCCTCAGTAAGTGCTCTATGTAGTCACTGGTTTCTCTGTTCCTTCTAGATACAACCAGAGGATGCCCCAGTAGTTCTCTGGTTACAGGGTGGGCCGGGAGGTTCATCCATGTTTGGACTGTTTGTGGAACACGGACCTTACGTCATCACAAGTAACTTGACCAGTAAGTACTGCTTGGACTATATTTCCTATGGAATCTTTTGTCTGGACTTTATATCTACTCCAAGACCAATTTAGAGTAAACAATGAACCACTAGGAATAGTTGAATGCTTCCAGATGATAAAAACACAACTTTTGATAACGTCTGTCCAAGAAGGAGGGGTTACCAGGTGAGTGCCCTGACTGGGCTGCTTTCTCCCTGGAAATGTGGGTAAAAGGTTCTAAGCTATTTTCTCACAGTCTGCTGCTGACTCAAGCATTCCTGGCATACAGAAACAGTTGGAATTGATTACCATTTGGGACAACTCTTTTGCATGGGACTAATGGGTGGAATTCTATTCCTAATTATTCACATGAACTGAACATTTTACGGTTCGGCCACAGGCATAATCTGATACCTTAGAAACAAGATGCAATGGCTAGGGACTGAGGTGGAGGAAGGGATGGAAAAAGTTTACCCTCGTTATATATATATATAATTTTTTTTTTTGAGTTGGAGTCTCACTCTGTCACCCAGGATGGAGTACATTGGCACAGTCATGGCTGCTGCAGCCTTGCTGGGCTCAGGAGATCCTTCCACTTTAGCCTTCCAAGTAGCTGGAACTACAGGTGTGTGCCACCACACCCAGTTAAATATTTTTTTTATTATAGAGACAAGATCTCACCAAGTTGCCAGGCTGATCTCAAACTCCTGGGCTCAGGCAACCCTCTTGGCTCCATCTCCCAAAGTGCCGGGATTATAGGCATGAGCCACTGTGCCTGGCTACATACATTTTTTGGGGGGGGAGTCGTTTACTTTTCCTGGATCAGAATTTGGAGTGTGAGCCAGCTTGTGACTCAGTATAAAAGCTTATGTGCAGCCGGGCTCGGTGGCTCAGCCTGTAATCCCACACCTTTGGGAGCCTGAGGTGAGTGGATTGCCTGAGCCCGCGGGTTCGAGACCCGCCTGGGCAGCGAGACCTCATCTCTACAATAAATCAAAAATCAGCCGGGTGTGGTAGTGCATGCCTGTAATTCCGGCTACTCGGAAGGCTGAGGCGGAAGGATCGCCGGAGCCCAGCAGGTCGAGGCTACAGTGGCCAGGAGCGGCCACTGCACTCCAGTCTGGGCGACAGAGTGAGACTCCAACTCAAAAAAGAAAAAAAAAGAAACAAAAAAGCTTATGTGCCAATTTTGTTGAAGTTGTTTTCTTCCTAAGAGATCAGTCGTTAAGGATGATTGACTGCACTGGACACATGGGTATAATTGCACAGGGGTTGATGGGTGTTTCTTCATGAGCCTGTTTTTTTTTTTTTTTTTTTTTTT